CTACAATATTTATTCCAAAGTAGTTAGTGCTGTATATTTCCTGCTGGGTATCAGGTTTAGAATTGACTCTTAACAAACTCTTGTAAATGCTAAAATGGCGGGAGCATTAAGAAGTTTGCCTATATGAATGTCGGACTGGGCATCCACAAAGATTGGAACTTGGCGTTGTTAATATTCATGAAGAGATATGGGTACAAGACCTTACGTACCATACGCACTGGTAAGGTGCAGGCAAGTTGAGGAGAAAGAAACCTATATGTGTTGACAATAATGGCTTGTAACATGTACGCACGGTTCAAAGCTAGTCTACCGGGTTGTACTACAAGTTATGAAACCGACACTAAGGTAGTGGTTCAAGTCTAACGACACCATTATTTTATGCATGGGTTTTGCTGGAATTATTCTGGATCCACTTAAAAATCATTTTCAATATATTGAAAATCGCGGGAGATTGTTGGAGTTATTTTCAGCATATTGTAGGGACACAATTAATATGTTGTGCCTATTGGGTGTTTTCAATATATTGTAGAGACACAACTAATAAGTTGTGCCTATGGATTCCATATGAAAAGACATTAACGAAAAATTATGTCTAGAACCATAACTAAGGATTACGTCTAATGCTCAAGAGTTTCTTCTAACTCTATAAATATGGATCATTTGGATGCTTTTAGTCTACAATGAAATCACCAAATACTTGGAATATTTCCAATGACATTTCTTATCCTTGTATCAGGTTGTTGGTTCACTAAAGTGCATAGTGAAACAACATGATCTCTATTTTATCTCACAGGGAATTCGCCTAGACAATTGCACTGTATAGTGGGCGAATTTAGCCTAAAGGAAAGCAAGTTTACTTGTGACTTGGAGACAAAATTTTCTTTTGTCCTAACCATAAATTCTTCTTGTTCTTTGATTTAGTGCAGCCATTGTTGTCCACTATTCTTGAAATAGAATTCTAACACCAAGTCCGATGAGAAGCAGAATATGCAAGTAAATTTGGACGTGTTGGAGAATCTACCTTGGATGGATACCCATTTGGATAGTTTATCCTTTGTTTTTGACGATGATCAGGAACCCGGTTTAACTTTTCAGTTTGTTCATGAAAATTCCGAGAACATTGAGGAGGTCCCTTCTGTGTCTCACAGAAACAGAGTTGTTAAATTGAAAGTTGAAAACTGTCTAGAAGTTGAAACAGGATTTGAGTTGAAGAAAAAAGAAAAAAAAAATACAAGGGAATAAATGCTGTGTTTCGCCCACAGTCGTGAATTGCCACAAATCTTTTGGATGCGTAACAAATTGGCTCATTCAAAGCTGGACAGTGCTTTTGTTTCAGATGGGGAGAGAATGAGGTTGGAAAGTAGTTCGTTTTAATTTTGGGGATGGATTTTTAAAGCCCCCAAATTTAGTACCCAAAGCCACCACAAAAAATTGGACGATTTTGCCCCTGTCATTTAATACAGTAGAGAGAGAAAGAAAATGAGTCATTCAGAGGTAAAAATAAAAAAACTTAAAAAAACCCGAACCGGGCAAGAAAACCGTCCCGGTTGAACCGGAGACGCCCAACAAACGCGTCCGGCCATTGAACCGGACGCGTTCACTGCGCTTCCCCGGTTCAACCGGGACGCGTGTGTTGCGCATCCGGCCATTGAACCGGACACGTTCATTGCGCGTGCCCGGTTCAACCGGGACTCGTGTGTTGCGCGTCCGGTCCAGGTGAAATCAGACCGGACGCGCAACACACGCGTCCCGGTTGAACCGGGAACGCGCAATATACGCGTCCGGTTCAATGGCTGGACGCGTTAAACACGCGTCCCGGTTGAACCCGGGACGCGCAATACACGCGTCCGGTTTAAGGGCCGAACGCATTTGTTGCACGTCCCCGGTTCAACCGGGATGCGTGTGTTGCGCATCCGGCCAGTGAACCGGTTTTTTTTTTTTAAATTTTAATTTCATGCATGTTATGTTAATTTATTTGTTAATTTAATTAGTTATGTTAAGTAATTTAATTAGTTTAATTATATTTATTTATTACATGTTATGTTAATTTAATTAAGTAGGAATATTATTATTTTATGTGTTAATTTAATTAGTTATGTTAAGTAAATTAATTAGTTGAATTATATTTATTTATTGAAGGTTATGTTAATTTAATTAAGTAGGAATATTATTATTTTATTTGTTAATTTAATTAGTTATGTTAAGTAATGTAATTAGTTGAATTTAATTTATTTATTGCATGTTTTGTTAATTTAATTAAATAGGAATATTATTATTGTAGTTGTTAATTTAATTAGTTAATTTAAAAAGTGATGTAATTAGTTGAATTTTATTTATCTAGATAATATTTATTTAGGGAGGAATTAAATAATTAAAGAATTTTGTGGAATAATTAATCTATTTACTGTAAATATATGTGTTTTTATTATTTATTATAATTGTTTTTTTTAAATGATTGGAATATGTGTTTAATTTAATTTATTATGATGCAGTTTTTTATTGTTGTAATTATATGTTTAATTTGCAAGATTCTTTAGAAGATTTTGATGGCGATGGTGAAGATTATAGTATATTGTTTGCTACAGATGAGGAATTTGCAAAAAAGGATGATGTTGTTGCTTGGGTGAAAGGCATGGGCATGGCAAATGGTATGCTAATAAACGTAGTTTCTAGCAAGAAGAAGAATGCTGTTCTGATGAGATGCTGTAATGGGGGAAAGGTGTCAGTTGATGATGGTGAATACTATGTCACATCAGATTTGAAGACCCAAATCACTGGGTGTAAATTTAAGTTATATGTGCACTTAGTGGAAGGGAAGTGGCGCATTCGGGTGTATCCTAGTGAGTTTGGAATGCATAACCACGAGCTGTTTGACGAAGATCATCCCACGAGGGGCCTTAGCGATGGAGTGAAACAATTTATACATGGTATGTCCAAAGATGGGTGTAGACCGTGTCAGATCATGGCTGCGATTGAGAGGATTTTTCCTGATGAAAAAGTTAACAGACGGCAAGTGTACGATTTCAGGAAGAAATTGCGTAATGAGGGATTCCCGGTCTTGGGTGAATCGAGTGCCATGGATGTCGCGATGAAGACACTATCGGTGGCCAAGTATCATGGTTACATCATCATGACAGATTGCAATCAGGAGACAGGTGTGCTGACTCGTGTTTTTTTTGCACATCCTGATGCTGTCAATTTATTTTGCAGTTATTTCTGGGTCGTCGGGATAGACTCAACATACAGGACGAACAAGTACAAAATGCCGTTAATTGAGTTTATTGGGATGACACCGTGCAACAAGAACTTCCTGATTGCATATGCCCTCTTGAGTGACGAGACTGCTGACAGTTATTATTGGGCTTTGAGACAGTTTAGGGATTTGCTTCCTGGTCATCTGTCTCCGGCTGTTATTGTTACTGATCGGGAACCGGGGGTTGATGGCGCCGCTGGGTATGGTATTTCCAGATTCATGCCACTTGTTGTGTGTTTGGCACGTTTATGAGAATGTAAAGCGACATCTCAACAAGGAATTGAAAATTGAAGCCAAGATTGCAAATGGTTTTACATATGGGTTGTGGAAAGACGTTGTGGAAGCTAATAATCAGGATGAATACAATAAAGCTGTTGCCGTAATAAACCGTCGTTGGCAGTCTTTTTCGAGAGTTCTTAATTATATCCAGAAGACATGGCTAGTGGTTGACTACAAATTCGTCAAGGCATGGACGAATGTTGTGTTTCATATGGGCAACACTACTACAGGTAGGGTGGAGAGTGCGCACAAGCAGTTAAAAACTTGGCTGGAAACATCCACTACGTCGCTGGATACACTTTGGCTAAGGTGCACTTAGAAATTCAGAGTCAGCTAACCGAAATACGGTAAGTTCTATTCCATTATATTAGAAGTTATATTTATTATAATATATTTAGTATTTATTTTGTTTTTATGGCATTTTACGTAAAATGTTTTACAGTAAGTGGTTACATTCAGGTACAAACTGGAGTACTCAAGACAAAAAATTGGCACCCATTATTGCGGTTTTCCACTGAACCGCTTGAAGTGTCAAGTTTCACACACTTGTTTGCAAAAACTGAACACTGAGTGGTCGAAGGCGCAAGAGTGGAAAGAAGAAACGAATGACCGATGCGATCATGTGGTGTACTGGACTTGTCGAATTCCATGTACGTGCGCCATCAAAAAGGCTGCACATGCCGGCACATCGATAACTCTTAAGCATATTCACCCATTCTGGGCTGCCACCTCTCAACAAATGCCTGAACTAAGCCAAGATCAATATCTTCATACGAGGTATGAAGAAGGTGAACCAATCCAGTCCCCCGAATCTTGCCTCTCACTACATCATCCATATCTTTATACCACATCTTCAACTTATTCAGAATCTTTTCGCCTTTAAAAATCTTCAATGTGGGTCTATTGTATCCATGCCAGAAATGATAAGCAATATGCCCAAGGAAGCTAGGAATCACGCTACCATCTATCGGCCCACCAGGTACTTCATCTGTCACTAGCCATGTAGTCGGATCAATTTCATCAGAAACTATCGACTGGCTGTTGCCGCCTGTACCATAAATGAGTAAGCCAAATATTATTTATTACATTTTATACACATACAACAATTCAATAAATATAAGTAAAAATAATTAATTAAAAATAATTACAAAATATTAATAATTACAACAATTAAATATAGATATTTGGTACCTGATGATGCAGTAGTGGTAACTGGACGTGTAGATACTCCAGTGGATCTGGGACCTCGGCTAGGGCCCACGGGATCAATGAGAGGGGGAGGACGTGTAGATACTCGAGCGGTGATGGGACCTCTGCGAGAGGGCACGGGATCAATGTAGGGGGGAGATGCCTGAGCAGGGCGGGAGGGGGGGGGGGAGACGAGGCCGACTACCGATGGATATACCCTGTGGAAATTCACCCGGATGCGGGAAAGAGGGACTATGATATGGACTGCGCCACTCACCACTCATAGGAGAAGGGATAGGGGTAGGGGAGAGGGTAAACCGCGAGGACCAGGCCGGGGACAACTGGAGTACCGAGGAGGAGGGTAACTACTAAGATTGTACATATGCGTATCTCTGTGATGTGCACCCATCCTAACACTGTCCTGCACATCATCCTCATCAAACTCATTCTCCTCATCCTCCTCATCCTCACCCCCCTCTTCCAGGTCGTCCTGAGAATACTCGGGTACATGAATCGGCTGACTAGACCGAGTCTGAAGCGGTACACCCCCCATAGTGACCTGAGTCATTTTCATTCGCTTCTTTTTCTCTTTTTCCTCTTTTTTCTTCCAACGGCTCATGGTCAGATAACGTGCACGAACCTTACGCTTACTAGTATCTTCAATATCACTAGTATCACTATCATCATCATCATCACAATAAACCTATAAACAAAATTTTATTCATCGTCATCATATTTTCATAGTCTAAACAAATAATTATACACATTTCCTAAATCCTAAATAGTTTAATAATTAAGTACAATTCATATAATAATTAAGTAAACTAAAGTACTTTATCAAATTTTTAATTAAATTACTATTAATTATAATTATTAAAAATACTCAACTATTTTACAAAATATTTATATTAATTTAATTAATCATAAACTACTTTACACACAATTTAAATTAGCTTTACTAATCTACTATTACTTAAATTATAAATAAATTAATCAATTAAACTAATTAGGTAGTGAACTAATCTACTATTAATGAAATTAGTTTTTAATATTCAACTAATTTACATACTATTTAAATTAATTTAATCAATCAAAATGAGTAACTTTACTAATCTATTAATAATGACATTAAAAATATAACCTAAATACTTTAATAACTAATTAAATTAATGAGTAAATCAATTAAACTAATTAGATAGTGAACTAATCTACTATTAATTAAATTAGTTTTTAAAATTCAACTAATTTACATACTATTTAAATTAATTTAATCAATTCAAATGATTAACTTTACTAATCTACTAATAATTAAATTAAAAATATAACCTAAATACTTTAATAACTATTTAAATTAATGAGTAAATCAATCAAACTAATTAGTTAATGAACTAATCTACTATTAATCAAATTAAATTATTTACACAATTAAATTAAATAACCAATCTAAATCACAAACTATTAATTAATAAATAACTACTTAATAACCCTAATTACATTAAATCAAACATAATTAAACACTAACATTGAATTAAACAAATTAAAAAAAAAATTAACATTCTGGGCCGGCCGGCGGTGCGACCGGGACGCGCAAGAAACGCGTCCCGGCTCAACCCGAACGAGCAAATCGCCTGTTCGGGTTGAACCGGACGCGTTTCTCGCGCCCGGTCGCGCCGCCGGACGCCTTCCATGGCCGTCCGGCGGTCACACGGAAGGCGTTCGGCGGTCACACAACATTAAAAAAAAAAATTTCCTTCCCGCCGGACGCGCAAGGAAGTTGTCCGGCGGCGCGGCCGGGACGCGCATCTTTGCGCGTCGGCCGCGCCACGGACGGCTTCCTGCGCGTCCGGCGGCCAGAATGAGTTTTTTTTTTTCTTTGCGCGTCCCGGTCGCGCTGCCGGACGGCTTCCTTGCGCGTCCGGCGGCCAGAATGAGTTTTTTTTTTACAATTTACAAATTTTTTTTTTTAAAAAAAACGTACCCTTGATGAGATCGGTTCTTTCCCGCTTTGATTCTTCCGTGTTGCCATCAACGGTGGATCAAATTAGACTTCAAATTTGGGTTTAGAAGGGAGGTGGTTTCAAGTTTTCTCTCTTTTTTCCTTTGGTGGAAGTTTGAAATGTGAGGGGCAAAATAGTCCAAAAATATTTACGGTGGCTTTAAGTTGTAAAGATGGTGGCTTCAAAAACTAACACCCTTAATTTTTCCTTTTGTTGAATTAAAAGCAAATCAGTACGGAAATTTCTTTATGGCTCAAATAGTGTTTTTAGTCTAAAACTAGTTGCGAAAATAATGTAGTAAAAGAAAAATAAACGTTTTCTTTCAATATGATGGACAAAATTCTTTGGTCGACCAAATGTAAAGAGCCTTTTGTGCGTTCTAGGAAAAAAGGGCGGGGGTGGTGGTGGTTGGGGAGCAACTCTTTACTTCAATAATTAGCCATCAATACTCTAAGGATACTCTCTAATTAATCTGAGTAAATGTAACAGGTGGTGCTTGACTTCTTGGAATGAAGCACTCAGACTTAATTATGACCATTCAAGTTTGCAAAATTTCCACCACCGTCATGGTCACAGGATGTGCTGGGCAAATGTTTAATTTGAGACCTTACTACATGAAATCAAGGAGACAGTGATAACGACTGTGATAAATAAGAGTATTGTTGGACTGATTATTTAATTTGAAATAATAAGAGTATGGTAAATGATTTGTGGTTTTGGCAACCTCATGTTGGACTGATTATTTATTTCTTCTTATTAGGCTTTTTCGAATTTTCAAAATTGTTAGAATTTTGAAAGAAAATTAATAAATTAAATAATATGTTGTTATTTTCAAATTATTTTTATATTTTAATGGAGAAGAAAAATAAGAGTAAACCGGAACCGAAATTGATTCTGAAATAAATGAATCCACTTAAACACACACTTTACCTGACCAATCCGAATTACCAAAAAATTCATACTTCAAAACCAATTTCTAATTGGTAAAAGATAGAAAAAAAAAAAAAAGACAAAAGCTTTTCTATAAATACAATAGTTTTCCCTCTCAAAAGGGTGTCACACTTCGTCCAGTCGCTTTGCTCCCAGGTCGGAAAATCGGCAAGAAGGCGGCTAAAATAATCGATCATGAATCCAGAAGAAGACAAAGGATCCTACGAAAGTATTACACTTGCCGATGGGTCAACCACAACCGTATTTCTCCCCCCCCGTTTCGAGAACTCAAACCCAAATCCGGTGCGTATCCCAAAAAACCCGCCGAGCGAGAGTACGAGCAGATACAAAAAAATTGATTTGTATAAGCCCACCTTTGGCATGCCCAGTTGTTTAAAAACGCTCCTCGCGAGCGTCGTCGGTTTAATTTCTGGCTGGAACCCATTGATGATAGGGGGAACCCACATTTTGTTATTGAACTAAGCCCTACGGCTGACCCGGGACTCACCACTTTGGCTTTCATATACGGTGGTGGGAAAGGGATTATGGTAGCTGTTCATCATAACGGTAAGTTTTCTTTCTTTTTTTTTTTCATTCATGTAATATTTCAGCTGTTTTATCCTCTTTTTTTTGGGTTGGGGTCATAAATTCTATAGTTAGCATCTCTTTTGTTAGTTTCATAAATTTTAGGTTATACTCTTTGTGTTACAACAAAAAATAGTCCACGTCAAGTTTTGAAATTTGTATTGTTTTTTAGTACAAATCTCAAAACTCGACGTGGACTACTTTTCTTGGACGGAGGAAGGAGTACATTGATGAATGCCGATACTTCCTCCGTTTCGAAATTATTGTATTGTTTGGAACTAAAGATAAAATTTAAATTGGAAAATAGTTTTGGAACAAAGGAGTATACTAAAAAGATTTGCGGTTGGGGTGTATTGGCTAGGTTTGTTTTGGTTTTGTTAGTCACGAGCAAAATCTAACGTATTCAATCTGTAAATTTAAATTCAGGTTATTTTCCATGGTGGTCGGATTCTCACATTGTGCCCCGTGATAATGCTGTTGACCTTAATTCTCACATCGGCACTGTTTCTGGAGTTCTTCTCCCTGATTTTCTCAGACGTCTGAAATTAATGTGCCTCAACTATGAAGAGAAGAAGAAGGGCAAAAGAGCTTCTGTTTCAAATGTATCGCAGTGGATGGTGGACCACCTGCGTTCCGAAAAGAAGGTGAAGCCTTCGTTGTTTTGTGGGGCGGGATTGGTCGCAGGGTGGGGTGAAAAGGGTCCTGAATTATATCGCGTGGACAGTGAAGGGGTACAGCTTAAAGGGGAAATGTTGGCCACCGGATTGTTCCCGCATGCATATGCTGATGCTGAAACCCTTGGTTACCGTCAAGATATGTCATTCCATGAAGCTCAAAAGTTGGCCATAGAAGCGATACGCCGCACTGCGTATTCCTTGCATTATAATGCTCCTTTCGCAAGCGTGTACCATGTAGGACCCGATGGGTTGAGGACACTCCATGATATGGTACCTGTAGAAGACTTCAACCGCAACACTGGGCAGTATTTCCCTCAATGAAATGTTCTTGCTTTAGCTTCTTATAGACATTATCCAACGACTGTGACTAACTTCCTGGCGGCTGGCGTAGCTCTTCTTATGGACATTATCCCAAAAGGCCTGTTTGTTTTCATAAAATATTGGATGCAGTTTGTAATTTGATCTTGTAGTAGACAGGAATAAAATATAGGGTGTTGTTTCTAGTATTTGGATCCGTGGTAGATGCTATTGCTAAGTAGATTATCAAATTAGCATTGTTGTTAAACTTATGACTTTGAATACCCAAATCTTGCTAAGTTAGAATAGTTTTTATGCACTTGCCCATCCTCTTTTTGTGTACTAGTGAACTCTACGTTGTTATATTCGTTGGGGGTACAAGAAACCCTTGGATCCATTCCCTTCGTTGTGCAACTTGTATAGTTATGCTTTTGAAAAAACTTAATAGTAGGTGTTCGATGTCTAGGATGGAACAAAAGTTATGGTAATTTATACAACTTTTTCTGTGTAAATCATTGTTTTAAGCAAATTCAGCAATCGTAATTTCTATGTGTGTAACACACTCTTAGTCTGTGTTATTAGCGTTTCCTGAGTTTTGTTTATGTTTAGTCCTTATCGAGTGTAAACCCATGGTGCCTGCCAAAAGTACTATGCGGAAACCCACTAGCTAGCTACAAGAAACAATCTTAACCCGAATTGATTGAGTAGCGCCAACTGACTTTCTAAACAGGAGGATCAAGTTCTCTAATTCAAATTACTTGTCACTTTCTGGCCGGCTTCTTTGTCACAGGGACATTTTCCAGTCAATTCCATCGAACATGTTGTACAGTCTAGTTTATATTGGTTTATTAGCAATTGAACCCGCATTGACTTTTCAATTTGTACGTGAGAACTTCGGGACCATTGAGGAGGGTCCGTTTTATATGTCTTAAGGCGAATAAATTGGTTGAAGTGAAAGTTATCTCGAATTCACAAAAATAGAATCTTGTTCTAACTGATCCAAAAAAACTTAACGGCGTCAAATATTATAAACTTCTCAAAATTTTGTTTTTGCAAAGGAAACTATCATATGATCCCGGTTTTCTTTTCCCTTAACGTTGAATCCGATACTAATGATTAAAAAATATATGTAGCTCAAATAAAAACTGCAGAATTTATGTAGAATAAGAAGGTACATTAGGGTAAAGTCTGTTTCCCCCATTAGATCAAGTCTCCCAAAGTGCGCAATTCGAAGATCAAGTCCAGTGTGATAATGTTTCTCTTAAAGCAAGAAAGTCTGAATGATCCGTTAGAATCTGGAAAATTGATTTCAGATACCATATATGTATAATACATAAGAAAAAAAAGAAGAAGTCCTAATAGTTCGTACCATATTAGCATGATTTTTCCTGTTGCATAAAATCATTATTATTTACACGCTATCAAAAGGAAAACTCCAAAAGAAAAGACTATGAAATAAACAATGTTTTAACATAGACCTGGATTAGGGTCTTAATTCTCACATGATTGGCGCCAATTTCTGGAGAGGCTTATGTTGGTAAATACTAGCTCACATATCTGAGAATGGAGTACCTCAAACATGAACAACATACAAAGGGAAAAAGAACACTAGCCGGAACCGCAACTCCAAGAGGAGGCTGGGAAAGGAAATTACACAACACACATATAGTACAAATTTTGTTCAAAACTATAGAAGCTTTCGAGTTTAGGACGAGGAAATTACATAAAACACGAAGGCTCCATTTGGACAAGGACTTGAAAAACTTTTTTAGCATTTTAAGAGTTAAAAATTCATTTGGACAAACTATATGGGGTATTTTTGAAAAGTCTTTTTGAAAAAAAGGGTATTTGAAGTATAGAAATTGAAAAATAGTGGGGTATTTTTCAGATTTTAAGAAAGTATTTTTCAATACTATTCGCGGGTCGTCTTGATGGGTAAACCGGGTTATAAAAAAATAAACGGGTCGTATATTTAAGTAAAAAAAAGTGGCCATTTCCTTCAGTATACATTTTGGCCTCGTCGTTTCAGACAACCCCTCAAATGGCGAAATCTAGGACTGAAGCTCGCCGCCGCCGTAATCTTTCTCCCTCTCTTCACTGAATCGCCGCTGCCGCCGCCGATTCCGGCCTAGCTCTGTCTATTCCAGCCAAACCGTAGGCAGGCTCTTGTGGGTTTTTTCCTTAAGGATTCGTTCCTTTTAGGATTATCCGAATTCAAACATCACTTTCACCTCCTTCAATTCCTGTTGTAGCACGGGAAATTGAGGTGTATTCAACTACTAATACTACCAGCAGAGCAAATCAACATTGGAATTTTTCGTTATAATCCGAGTTGGGTTTGTTTTGAGTTCGATATGTTCGATTGAATGAACGAGTCATGACGTTAGAGTAAACTGGGTTCTTTTGATTTGAGTTTATACTATTCTGGCTTGATTTGGGTTTATTTGAAATGTGTTGTTTTTATTCTGATTTCATTTGTTCTTCTTTTTCCTCACATGCTTTTTTGGTTTCAGTTATGTGCATATGCTAATGTGACGATGAATTTTAATGTGAAGATGTCTGCCCCTTGTTTTTGTTGCTTTATGTTTGCCGAAGTTCCAAAAAAATCCATGAAAAAGGGATTCCTTCTTTATTCTAGTACACTTTCACTTCAGAGATTGATTGTAAAGGAAAAAAATTATTGATTTGTTGCCTATTGGTGATGTTTTCTACCTACAATCAGTACATGATGTGGGTTTTGTTTAATTTTAGCTGGACTGGTGGTTTCTTGTTTTCCCGTCTCGGTTTTTTTGCCCTGGTCGTTGGTTCTTTGATTAAGTATTAAGGGTTTTGTGGCTTAAACTGGAGCAAAGATGAAGAAGATTGGACAATAAATTCGGGCTGATGGTTAAGGAAATTGAAGAAGGAAATGGGTTGGCGATTTTCCTTCTATTAGTTAATCTAGGGTTCACATTGAGGGAAAATGGGGGTGATAGAAGAATGACAGAGAGATGGAGTCCACAATGGAGAAATGCAGGAAATGGTCTTAAAACAAATTGTGCCCCTTTCTACTTATTTTTTTGAAGTCGGTTCAAATTACCAGATATAAGGAGTGGTTTTGGTTATGAGTTAGGTGAGCTGAAACAAAAGGAGATGTGGCCAATATTTGGGGCTTTCTTAAGTTCCGGAAGGGAACAAAATGTAAGGAGCTATAGAGTAGTTTTCGAAGAAAAATGTTAATTAAATAAAATTTAGAAGATAAAGAGAAGTTAGGCGGTGGTGTTGCGCTGGCCAAATGGTCCCTCCTTTCTGGTCTATTGATAAACCTGTCGCCTTAATATACAATGATTGTTCTGTCTGTCTTTGCATTACTGAAATTCAACCAAATTTCAATAAGAGGGATCTTATTATATGGTCATTTTCTCCATGAGTTGCTTATGCTTATAGGTTAGTTTCAGAAGCTATGTTATGTTGAAGACATGTTAATTGGTGGGTTGGGGTTTGATTTCTTTACTTAGGTGTTTAATTGAACCTTCTTGCTATAGATCTATGCTGGGTTTTGTGTCTTTTAGTTGAAAGATTGATACTTTGATGGAGTATTTGTTTTATTAGTTGATTTTTCTGCACTTCTTAATCTTAGAAATGATATCTTACAGAATGAAGTACATTTCAAAGTACATTTCAGGAGCTGGTCGCCAAGGACCTTCATGGAGTGAAATGGAAATTTCGACATATCTACAGAGGTATTTGCTCTTTTTGGAATGAATAACATCTTGTAAAGCCAAGAACTCTTGTTTTTATTGCTTCACAATTTGATGCTTACATGACAGGCCAGCCAAGGCGACATTTGCTTACTACTGGATGGAGTATTTTTGTCAGCTAGAAGAATCTCGTTTCAGGGGAGGTTGTCCTGTTTCTGAGGTATATATGTACATCTAAGGCTAGATGTTATGTGTAATGATATGTGATCGATTTATTCTTTATAGAATGCCAAGAAAAATAATTGTATACAAGAAAGATAAAGATAATTGTACTCTCTGCACTGAAGCTTATCATTTCGTTTTTGTTTCAATTTGTTTTCTCTTATTCCCTTGGACTGCCTGATATTTGAGTTCAGACATACTTCTGTGTCCCTCTTGCAAAGATTGATGAAATTGACTTAAATGTAAACCTGTTCCCTAGCGCTTGACTGGTAAAGGGGTCCAACCAAAATAGAATTAGGTCATCCATTTCGAAACTGTTAACAGCCTCTTTGCCAAAAAGGTTGTGTGCAAACGTCCCACCCCCCAAATCCCTGTGAAGCCGGGAGCCTTTCCCATTGGGGGTTGTTTATGATATAATCAGGCTGTTCATGCACTCCTGAACTTGCATTATCTTTTTAAATAAACTTGCAGTGTATGGTTGTCCGAGTTTGCTGTGATTTTAACCATGCTAAGTAATGTTGGTTTAGTTTTTATCATCTTCCCAGCTGCTAGCTATTAAGAGTTACGTTTGCAGTTAGGTTCATTCATCTGCAGTTAGTTTTTGTCGCTGTATGTTTGGAATGTTCTTTCTAATCCACCTTTACGACTATTTGAACATGGTACCTCTGAAGGGGGTTATAACTACCCATAGTTGAAGGATCAAGCAGTCTCCTTTTAACCCCTTTGATGGTCATCATTTAACATGCCTGCGTGTTCTGATTTCCGAATTTTCCTCATTTCGTAAGTAGACAAGTACACATTTGATTTGATTAACTTTTAAATTCCTTAAAACAACTTTGCAGGGTGAATCATGCTGATTTCATGAGGCATACCAAAAATATGCGAAAAGCATTACTAATCCAATTCCTCCCACCACAAGATTTAAAATCAGTGTTGATCTGGACGATGCTCCTGAGAGAAGGTTTGTTTAAACATTTCACTTAATCATATTGAGTTCTGTTATTTAATTTTAAAAACCGATTGGTTTGGTTCCAGGTACAGTGGTGTTGTTACTGGATATGGGGACATGGACCCCGCAGATTGCCCAACTCGCAGTGGAGATGCTTTACAATAATGACATTT